AAGTTAGATCCACACACCCCTCTGGGACAGATCAGGCTAAGAACCTGCTCAGCCTTCTGAACCCACAACACAGTCCCCGCGTCATTTCTTTCTATAGTTTTGAAGTTATAAACAGACTGGAATGGACTTCAACGCCATCAAAATCAGATAGCAACTGCTCGACAGAGAGGGTATTTGCTCTCACGATGAATTCTGATGTGTCCTTCATTTCAAGTTCAATAGTAACTAAATCTAACAGCAGAGGGAAAAAGATAAAACTACCAACAATGGGGAAGCAGGAATGGGGTTTCACAATAAGCAAAATAATACAAAAGGAACAATATGTGAATAACTGGTCTGGAGGAGGGGAGAAAATCTGGAGGAAATCCTGGCACCCTTTCTGAAAGAGCAGGATAAAACATTGTCTATTTAGTATTTATAAGCTATTTTCTATCGATCTACCCATCTGATCTAGACATGTCTAAAGAGATTAAAAATATGTCAGGTATGTGAATATGTAACACTTAAATAAACATACACATTAAAAATATTAATAATAGGCAGTAAAAGGCTTAAAATATATAACTTAAAAATTTTTTTTAATGTTTATTATTTTGGGGAGAGAGACAGAGAGACAGAGAGCAATCAGGGGAGGGGCAGAGAGAGAGGGAGACACAGAATCTGAAGCAGGCTCCAGGCTCTGAGCTGTCGGCACAGAGCCTGACACGGGGCTTGAACCCACAGCTTGCGAGATAATGACCTGAGCTGAAGTCGGCTGCTTAACCGACTGAGCCACCCAGGCGCCCCATAAAATATATAACTTTAAATAAACTATCTGCCAAATTATTCTCTAAGTGAGTAACTCGTGCCTAATATTCCTTAAATGGTCATATTAGCATAGCTGAGACAATGTTGAAACATTAATAATATACAGGGATTCAAAAGGCTACCACATTTTTCAGAATAATGTTAACCTTAGAAAATGTTATTTTAATCATAAAATCTACTAACATCGCAAAGGTGAGCACAACTCGAATGGCTTGTGCTACTGCATCTGAAAAAGGAAGGAATGTCTACAAAATCGGATTAAAAGAATAATGTTAAAAATATGGTCTCGATGCAGTATTTACGGAGCTCTGAGAGCGTGGAGAAGGATCAAAGATGACACTGATCAATGATGAGATGAAAGTTTATGGGCACTTGAACAGAAAAAGCAAACCCCACAGATATATATATACATATATTTGAGCCAGAACTGAAAATGTAACTGTAGTGATTGGGTGATCACAGTAGACAGCAAGGGAAAGCCAGAACTCCAGGAAGCATGCCCTTGGGAGGCCTTTACTTTAAACAGAACCGCAGCATGTATAGAGGAGCACTCCCCAACACTCAGCATCATTCCAACACAAGCCACTAGCCACGTTTTGAGTGCTCAATAGTCTCACGTGGCCAGTGGTTACTATGCCAGACAGAGTAGGACTGAAGGAGAAACACCACTATCCAGAAGTTGAGTGAGGGGAGGAGATAATTTCCCAAGATTCATCCCAGGCCCTATGAATTATAATATCTTAGGGCATCTAAACGATCGCTGGCATCCTCCTTAACTCATTTTAACTAAATGCATTTGAATTTATGATTTGTAAATATGGAGAGAATAACTAAGAGAAAAAACACATATGTAAAAATGGAAATCAATAAAGAATTAATCAGAGTAACTCCAGAAATCTTTCAAGTTAGTCACAAAGACCTTTTTGTAATTATTATTTTCAGTGTGTCCAAAGGAAGAAAAACCATTATTGGAAAACATTAGGAGACCTACTTTAAAAGGAAGGATGAGAAGTAGAATCATGATGACTGTAGGGACGATTAGTCCCTACCACAATGTAACTACATCTACATGTAGCTTCAAGAGAAGAAAGACCCATTAGTCTTCAAAAGGGGGGAAGCCGCCTTCTTTATATACACATCGCACTGATTTGAAGCTCTCATCGAAGACTCATTAGAGTGACCTCTAAGTTCAACTATAAGTTTCCAGGCCAAGTAGGAATGACACATAGCTCTGCTAAACTTCCTCCTTTGCAAAAGAGATAGTTATAGCGACAGATTGCTTCAATGATTAAAAATCTTCCTTGGTGCTGATTATTTGGAAATTCACCTCCCTACAGTTTCTACCCCACGTGTAGAAGAAACAGAATCAACAACCTTCCTTTTCCTATGTACCTTGAGACCCTGTATCCACAAGAAGCACAGACACATTAAAATACATGTCCATGTAAGAGTTGATGAAGTTAATCTTCCATTAATTATCAAGCGGAAATCACGCCTTCCTTGTCACCAGTCCTACAAAGCATAACCTCTACTTGAGTCTTAAATGTACACAGCACTAATCAGAACCCTGGCTCTCCATTTAGAGAAAAGGAAGAAAGAAAGAAAATTATACCAAAAACTACACAAATTGCACAAACTGTCAGACACATTGGCAGCCCAAACCCATCACATATGCCCCTCAAAACATTAGATAAAATATTGTCACTTCAGCACTCATTCTTCACAAAGCACCCTGAATGCAAAATAACTCCAAAAATGCAGTATTAGCTGATGTAACATGAAACTGATGCCACCATGGCATCTTAAACAGGACTTGAAACAGGTAAATATTTGTAGCATTAATGAGAGTACAACACTTAAACATTCATTGGATACACTATCCACATTACCAGATAACCATAAAAAGAATAGGAAGGAAAAATAAAAACAAAATAAGAAAAAAAATAACAAGGGAAAAAATTTTAACGGGAGCTAGGAATTTCTTTTACAGTTGTTTGGCAGTGAGGAATTAAAATAAAATAAAAATAACCAATATTAACTTATATTTTTTTTATATTACACCAGAAAGAGAAGTCTTCACTGACATTGGCTGTGACCTGCAGCTTCTCACAAAAACAATATAATATGGGAGTTTATACTTTAAAAAAATAATGCTACCAAAGCTCTTCAAAGGGATTTATAAACTACTTCTCAAGTTATATACAAAATAATTATTAAACATATTTTCCACTGCTGACATTGTAATAATAGTTCATTCCATTTCCTCTTGCCTGGACCTCAAGTAAAGCTATGTAATTCGTATTAATAACACATGATAGCTACCAACATGCTATCTGAAGGGCTAGTACTCTGACTCAAGTTATATTAATCACTTTCCGTCGGAAAGATAGCCTCAGCATTGGTCAAGAATTAGTACCTTATAAGAAAACAAGACCAAATACCTGCTAGGTACAGAATTACGTAGCAGGAAACAAACAGTAACGAGCAAGTTCATAATCTGGGTTATGCCAGACACATGAATAAATTTAAAGGTGTCTGAATTTCACACATTTCTTTCATTTTACATCAGAGACCACAAACTCAGCCAATACTTTTGTGTTGATATTGTAATCAGTGCATAAAAATCAGAATTATTACAGCAACCCATAGCCTCTCACAGTTTACAAAAAGCCATCATATGCATTATCTAATCGAGCCGTCACAAGCACCAAGCACTGCGCTGCTATCCCCACTGGGGAGACTGAGTCCCAGAAAGGATGAGACTTGATCCATGTCAAGGAACAATGGACTAACAGAGACGGGCTCCTGACTCCCAATCTGGGGCTGTTTCTGTTGAACTGCAGAGGCTTCCAGCTTCCATGTAAGTTATTCTTCAACACAGAATAGAAATAGGACAAAACCCCGATCTATGGATCCATGAATTGTCTTTCCTCGCCCTGGATGCCATCTTGTCATTAGCCCCAGTACATACAAATGGCGGAAGTGGGGGCAGACAGTGATGACTGCAAAATAAGACACACACTTTGCGGAAATCGTTTGGGCTGAACAGTTTGACATCGTTTGCTGAAAATACCTAATACACAGACTGACCGTTATAAAACTGAAAGAGACCTAGAAAGACATCTGTTCTTTTTCCATTTCACAGATGAGGAAAATACACTGATACAGAGAGCAGGGGGCTCCCTAAAGGTCACCCCAATGACTGCTAATCAGTAGCAGAGCCAGGCTCTCCGCTGCATCCTGTCCTGATTGTGTTTCCTAGTTCAAGGACGAAGCACAGTCCGGATATTTACAAAGAACCATCACAGTGCTAGGGAGATTAGAAAATTAGATCTCACTCACCAACATCACGAGTATAAAAATTATTGATATTTTACATATCGTTTAAAGCAGCAGGAAATTTACTTCCTATAGACAAAAATAACCAACATATGTATTGTAGACTCTCATTGCTAAGGTTGAGGATAATTTCTAAAATATGACTTTTCTTCCCTTTAGTTTTTTGAATTTTGTTATTATAACAGACTCAAGCACATTCAAAAAAAAAGGGTAGTCTCTCAAAAATGTCACTACCTTTAACATACATGAAGAATAAAAAACAAAACAAAACAAAACCTAATATGTCACCATCTTTTCTAGATATAGTTCCCTTCATCCTATTAAGGACATTATCCTGTCCCTATTCACACCCACTGCTTGTCTTATTCAGGACACTTCAGGTTATTGTTAATCTTTTTTGAATGTAGGTGATTTTTATTTCCCCTCTTACATTAAATACTAGGCAACAAAATATCTCTGACCAACAAACCTAAAAATGGCTCAACTTATAAGCCATTTGCTACTTAAACATTAATTACCACATTAAAAAAATAAATAATCTAATTAGACTTCATTATTTTGTGAGTCCTTTAAAAGACTTCTTCACTCTCCAATTCAAATCTAGTATGAAATTCTTTTCGGAGAGGCAAAATGTAAGAATTTTCTAGACAGTACTCGATATTGAACATTGTTTCATAGGAAAAAAAAAAACACACAGACACAGATCAACAGTAAACCACAGAGATGATAGAAAATATTGACAATAAAATTAGTTTTTTGTCTCTCATTCGCAAGATCACTTTTCCACTTTAATGAAAGGCCTGATCTACAGCAGATGCCGGTGCTGAGGGAAAACTCCATCCTTCGTGTTCTGATCAATCTGAGGAAGTTTTTTTCCACAGGTGAAGAGCTGCCTGAATTCGAAAGTGTAGTCTGGACTCCATGGAGTAATCTTTGTAGTTGTTTCTAAAGACAATAACAATAAAATCGTAATGTCAAAATTCCTTCATATCCAAGGGCAATACCACCATCTCCCCTTCTTCTCATCTTCATTACTTATTTGCTTCCAAACTTGAATAGGCATTAACAGCAGATCTTGGGGAAATGTAGATTCTGATCCTGTGGGGGAAGGAGGATGGCAATAGTCTATATTTCTAGAAGTCTCCTGGCAGTGATCTGAAAGTCATACTTTGAGTAGCAAGGTTCTATTTAATGAGCAAGCCATTGACAAACGAGGCAAGAAGCTTATGAAGAGGGTTTCGTAAATTCTGTGAACTATTATTCCTAAATAGTTGAGCTCCTTTTCTAAACCAGGAATTTTTAAGGCAGCCTCGGGTGAACATCATCAATCACCACTTCCCCACCCCCTCAAAAAAAAAAAAAAATCATTCTGAAACGCTCATGCAACAACTACAACAAAGACAGCCGCATGATGTGGTGACACCACAATTACTCCTATTCTCCACAGGCAAGTAACAATGGTTTGGCCAATAATTATTGTGTGACAAGGTCAGAAGGGGCCATAAGAATCCACGGATTCGCTGACTACTCTGTTTATTAGATGATTCATGGTCACTTCTGTCTGCTCGGATTGCTAAGAATCAGTACAACAGAATGGCTTCGACTTTGGGCTCCTGCTTTCACACATGGCCCTGGTCCATGGGCAAGCTGTAACTCCTTCCTTTCAGTGGCAGTCATTTCTTTCTATAGCTCTTCATTGTACACAGGTCTAAGAACTACTTAATAGTAACCGTCATAAGGGTTATTATTTATTCACAATATGGGTTATTATTCATAAACTGAATCAACTTCTTACTAGAGTTTACCAAACGATGTGACTGGAAAGTTTCCTAAAGGTCTGGCCACTAACTTTGGCAACTTTGCGAAGCTCCAACTACATGAGGGAAAGTGCAGACAGCTGACAGTCCTGAGATGTCTGGGAAGTCCGTTTACGGAGGCATCATCAGCACTGGCTTGAGCTGGTGGTGACTTTCGATTGCTGATGGTCTTCCCGTTTAGTGGTGACTTACCAGTCTTATTTTCATCATTATAAATTTGTCTTACTGTGCATTCCTTAGGTAACACCAAGTGTGTCCAAATAACAGATACTTCGAACGACAGTAATTATAGTCTCTAATTTTCCAATAGTTAGATTTGAAGATACATACATGTCAGCTGAAATATGAGTCATTCTCACTCTCAACAAATTAGCTTTAAAAGTGACTCACTCAGATATCACCCTTTAAAAAAAAAAAAAAAAAAAAAAAAGGCAGCAGCAGTAGCAGCCTCTCTCAGCTCCATGATGCCCCCAAAGCTTCTTCCTCATTACTATGCTTTATTCACAGCAAAACATCCTGAAAATGGCCTGAAGCATCTGACTCCATTTTCTCCCCTCACTGGTCAAAGTCACTTGATCTTCATGCTGCCAAGTTCTCTGGACTCAGCTTGCCTGGCCTCTCAGCAGCCATGATCACAACTGACCACTGTCTTCTCTTTGGAACACTTTGCTCGCTTGGCTTTCCTGGATGTCTTCCTTACTCACTGGCCACTTCTTCTGAATCTTATTGTTTAATCTCTAAAATGATGGCATATCCCAAGGCGCTGCGCTGGACCTCTTTCTCTAGCTTTATAATTTTCCCAAAATGGTTTCATCAAGTATCGTGGCTTCAAATATCGCTGTCTCTTGTGCTGGTGACTTTGAAATCTCTACACTTGGCCTTGACGTTTGCACTGAACTCCATGCTTATACTGCCAACTCACCATCTCCACATGGACACCTAACAAGCACTTCAAAATACCATGGTCCAAACAGAAGTATGTTTTCTCCTCTCCCAGAACCTCCTCTTCTAAGTATATCTCATTTTAGTAAAAAGTATCGTTTACTACCTAGTGGCTCAACCCCCCAGTTTAGAGGTTTCCTAGCTGTGGCTTCGGCCAGGAATGCTCCCCACCCAGTCTTCTGGTGACCGATCTTCTCAAGACTGGCTTTAATTATGCGAATCTCAACTACAATATCACCTCCTCGAGGAAACCTCCCAAACTCGACCCAATCTAAAGTAATACCCAGGGACTCTGTACCATATTGTAAATCTCAGCAAAGCATGTACCATTGCTATTTTTCTTATTTATTTGTTTATTCAACATCTCCCTCTAAGTAAGTTGCCTGCTTATGTATAGTTGTCTGTCTAGAGCCTTTACTGGTGTCCGGCACAAAATAAGTGCTCAGTGAATACTTGCTGAACTTGAGTAAATGAACAAACCAATGAATCACTAAGCTGTTTATAGCCTAAAGCTATTATGTCATTCTTTTTCCACTGTAAGAAGCATTCAAGAGGTTTGTGGTCAAACAGACCACAGGGGTTTTGTCTCTGCTAAGTGAGCCATGATCACAAGTCTAAGAGCCATTGTCTAGCAGAAATGAAAGTGCTTTGAAATTACCACAGTAGACAAAAGGAAAAGAGAGCCAGGGAGAGCTTCCGAGGGCTTCTTCAAATCAGTGGCTCTTCAAGGAAATGAGAGATATGGCTGAATATACCAAGGGTCAGCAAATCATGACCAAAATAATGGCCAAATCCAGACACACCCATTTATTTACATATTATCTTCTATGACTGCTTTCATATACAGTTGAATAGTTGCAATGAGACCTTAATTTTTTGTAAAACCAAAAATACTTATTATCTGGCCCTTTATAGAGTTTGCCAACCCCAATACAAAAGAGAATAAGTTAGAAATCGGTCATATAGGGGTGCCTCAGTGGCTCAGTAGGCTAGGCATCCAATTCTTGATTTCAGCTCAGGTCATGATCTCATAGTTTGTGAGTCTGAAACCCCACATCAGGCTCCACACTGAAGCCTGCTTGGATTCCCTCTCTCCCTCTTGTTCTGCCCCTCCCATACTCGCACATGCATATACACTCACTCTCTCTCTCTCAAAATAAATAAAACTTAAAAAAAAAAAAAAAAACGAAATCTGTCAGATTCCCACAATCACAATATTTGTAAATAGTCACAGAGTCAAAAAGGTTAGAAATAGCACAACTACAGCAAAACACATGAGCGTAACATCATTACTAAGTTTTCATTAAGGTTTTAACCTCTAAGTATATAACATTACTGCTGCTGTTATACTGGTATTGGCATTCCAGACTCTATAGCAAGCAGGAAAAGCTGCCATCACCACTTACCTTGCAGTTTCTAGGGTCTTTATGGCCTTGTCAATTTCCCCTTGGCTTTTGTACAAAAAGGCCAACTCAAACAGAGTAAATGGCACTAGGTAGTGGTCATACTTCAGTAGCTTTTCACTAAAAGAATGAATGAAAAGTGATTAAGTCTTAACAGAAGAGATGAATTGTTCCCTTTTAATGCATGTACTTTCCCCATTCCTCAGAAAACAGGTGCAGCACTAAGCCTATTACCAGACAGAACTGTCATTATAAAGTCTAAGAACTTAATAAGCTATACCAATAAGTAATATGCTTTGAATATATTAAACTTTTATTTTAATCCTTAATCTAAATCCAGCACTAAGCATTGTTTACGCCCCTTAGGAAGATGAATGTATGCAGATCTTCAAAGATTAACCCTGGAAAACACAAGGTCATCCTCCTAAAAAAGATGAACAGGTTCAGGAAATGATTCCATTTAGATATAAGAACATTGTATTATTTTATACAGTGAAGTTTTATAAGGCTAAAAAAAGTCAATAAAGAAGTTGTCGACACTTCTGTTTTCAGCAATATTACGAAATCTGACCATAAAACATCTGGAAGCAATAAAAAATATATATAAGTAACGCCCTTCCAAATGCATAGCTAGGCTCACAAGAACATAGAAAAGACTCAAACTAACAACAAAAGAAAGTCAGAACTCTAAGTGTGTGGATGATGTCAAAGCAGCACTGGGATATGCTTCAGCCTTAATCAACCAGGGCTTTATATCTTAATGTCCATGTGGGAGATGAGGCCTTATGCCCACATAAGAGCAGAGACTGAGTCCTCTGTATAAATCAGGGGCCATACTCCATCAGAGAAAGGGCAGATTGGAAAAACCCACTCCCCGGCATAGTAGGAAGACAAGGGAAGTTGGCTCCTTGGCCTGCACTCCAGGTTGGAAGGAAAAAAACACATTCCTTGGGAAATTAATAACCAATATGCCTACCCCCACATGAATTTGCAATTCAAATTTACATGGCCCTGGGGTGCCTGGTTGGCTCAGTAGGTTGAGCATCTGCGGCACAGGTCATGATCTCATGGCTCATGAGTTCCAGCCCCACGTCAAGCTCTGTGCTGACAGCTCAGAGTCTGGAGCCTGCTTCGGATTCTGTGTCTCCCTCTCTCTCTCTGCCCCTCCCTCGCACATTCTCTCTCTCTCTCTCTCTCAAAAATAAACATTAAAAAAAAACAAAAAACAAATTTACATGGCTCAAACGATCCAAGGACCTCTAAGCAATGATATTAACATGAAAGTGGGCCTGGGCTGAAACTGCTTTGAGGGCATCTGGCAGAAATAAAAGCAAAATCACTTTAGAGAAACTCTTCTTCAATCCTAGCCTCAGAGGCATCTCAAGACAAAACCCCAAAGAGGGGAGCTCACGATCCAAAATTACAAAACACGTGAGCCAACAATTCACTATAGATTCGATAAACGTAACACATAGCACAAATGGGTCATCCTTTTGATCCTTCCAGGAACACGAGTAAAATAGAACTCAAGGGATACTTCTTTGTTTCCTTAAAGCAGTATATTACTTATTTGGGAAAGAGACATGGTCGCTTCCCTCTTATCAGAACACCTGTCCTGACCAGGCCTCCTACATTCTCATATAAAACAGCGTTTAGTTTTCACAGAACTTAGGGTTCTGCTTAAACTACCCGGTGGAAATGCATACAGCCATGTTCTTCTTGGTCTATAGCTTTGCTCTCAAAGGACGAAGAGAACACTACTGGATTCTATCCCTGGGAACACCGAGGAAAATGTTAGCAGCGGGAGATAACCCATCACCGTCTCACAGCAACTTCCTGGAAACCACGGTGCACACGCCGCTTGGCTTCCTTGTCTGTCAGTACCTTTGGATGACGTGGTTGAAGCACAGCTCCGCCTGCAAGGGCCGCTGCAAGTTCTTCAGGCAGCACCCTTTCAGCAGCTTCACCAGGCACTCGTCGTCCACAGAGTAGTCGCTCAAACCTTAAAGCAAAACAAGCAGAAATCACACACAAAAGGAGAAACGCCTAAAAATCGTAATTAAGAGGCAGAACTAATAGCTATTTGGTTTCAGAGGGATCTTTGTTTCAAATTTATTTATTTTAAGAGAGAGAGAGAGAGAGCACCAGTGGGGGAGGGGTGGAGAGAGAGGGAGAGGGAGAGAATCGCAAGCAGGATCCCTGCTGTCAGCATGGAGCCCAGCGTGGGGCTCAAACTCACGAACCGAGAGATCACGACCTGAGTCGATACCAAGAGTTGGAAGTTTAGCCGAATGAGCCACCCAGGTGTTCCTCAGAGGTATCATTTAAACACAGGGAAGTATTTTTAGCACTTGTTATGTTTCACTTAATAAAATTCAATGAAAATATTTTAAATTAAAAGAATAGAGAGTTCACTACATTAATACACCAATTTACTAAGGGGTTCACTCTATCCACTTAAAAATCTTTTCTCAGGGGTGCCTGGGTGGCTGGTTCCAACTCTTAGTTTGGGTTCAGGTCATGATCGCACAGTTCCTGGATTCGAGCTCCACGTCGGGCTCTGCACTGTTAGCAAGGGGCCTGCTTGGATTTCTCTCTCCCTCTCCCTGCCCCTCCCCAACATACACACACACATATGCTTGCTCACTCTCTCTCTCTCTCAAAATAAATCAACTTTAAAAAAATATTTGAGATCCTAAAAAAATACGTATTATAAAAAAAAAATCTTTTTTTAGGTGCTCATTCTTGGAGTTATGTAACCTTAGATGTAACAATAGGAAACCTGAACTCTAAATGAAGCAAGAGCTTTATTAATCCTATAAAAGGTAAAGCAGCGAGGAGCAAGGAGCCTGCCTCGTCCTGTGGTTCTGGCGTCTAACTGTGCTGGCTTCACGCATAAGCGGATAACACTTCCATATGGAGAAGCAGATGGCTTCCCACCCATTAAAAATTCAGGAAGTAGAATGCCCTCTCCAGATCATTCTGTTTACAACTTATCAATTCTCCCAGGTTATGTTCTTTTGGGGGGAAATTATGTCATAAAATTAGGCAAAATGGTTCTGAAGTGCATGTAAGTTACCTAAAACCCTCGCAAAACTTGCAACTGCTTGAGGCTAATGTGAAGGTTTTTCTTTCACCACGTTTTCCCTTTTGAAAACGACCCTTTGCCTTCCTACAGTGCAAGGCTACAGAATGTTAAACAAAAGGAATCATATTATGCGTGCCATCAACCTGACAAAGGTAGCCATTTCACATCTACCACTTCGGAATTCGGGGGGTTTTGCAAGTTACTGCAACTAAGTCATTCCAAAGACACACTGCTAAATTACACGCTCAGCTGTGACCACAAACACAGGGGACTGGAGGGGCAGTCAACCAAACCAGTGAGGCCTGGGAGTCCTCATATTGAGATCCTCCTCCTTCCAGTACAAACCTCAGAAATCACCATCAACACACGCTGGTGTGGCTTGGGGATTTGTTTAGTTTTTTTTTTTTTTTTAAGTTTTATTTATTTAAGTAATCTTTATACCCCATATGGGGCTCGAACTCATGACCCCAAAATTAAGACTCGCACATGCCTCCAACTGAGCCAGGCAGGTGCACCAACACACGCTGGTGTTTTAGTTAGTAAACTGCTTGTTTATGGGAGGTTAATGATGCTAGTCAACCAACTGGAAAGGGATCACTTTACCTCTAGGTGCTAAAAACAGCTGACACTCACCTCTCGCTTCCAAGCTCTGATAGTTCATTCACCAAGAAAAATCACAGGTATCAATATCACATTACCTTTCCTACTAAAATTAAGGACTATTTTTCAACCCCTACCCACCCTCCCCCCACACACAAACATATCCATGCTTCTAAGCATGGATGCTCACTGAAATATACATACAGGAAGCAATATCTTCCCAGGCCTAGAACCGAACCCTTAGGGACCATACTGGATGCTAGTTTTTAGTATCATTTTTATGCATTCTATTGAGTTCTGTATTAGCATTTTTGAAAGTTTGTCTTATAAAATTCTAGTGCTCAGTGAGTGATGGTTTTGCTGAGGAACAGCAAATCTTGCTGGAAAATTAAAGTACCAGTAAAGCCACACTTAGCTTTTATTTAGATCATGAATTAAGGATATGGAAAATGGGCTCAAAAACACCACATTCCTCCAAAAACCTTTGCAAAACCACTATTTCCTCACCACAGAACACTGTCAGATGATTATTTTCCCTTAAAATAGGAATGCTTTATCATGATTCTCAACCTCATGGGCAAGTTCACAGATGAACATTTCAACACACAATTTCCATTTTATATTCCAAGAAAAATATCCAATAATGCTGCCAAAGCACATTTTCATCACAAAAGATCTGCTTAACTTAATAAAGCAGAGGGCAGGCTGAGGAAAAAGAAAGCTTGAAGCCGAAACTACAAAAATATTCACAAGGAACTTTTTAGAAACCAGCTGAAATGCACCAAAGGAAAAATTTAAGAATAGATTTAGCAAGTGAAAAGCCATCGAGTAGCATTTTCCCTTTTATGTAACCCTGATCATGTTTGCTATATAATTCCACAAAGCAAGTAGTCAAAGCAGAACTACTCTACCAACTTCTGGCTACATGATGAGCTCAGTTAGATTTCCAATGGAACACTAACAGAATTAATAGCAGACACTGACTCCACGCGTGTTAACAAGTGTTTTTCTCTTATTAAACCTTATCCTTCCCTTTGCATCCATAACCAGCCTTTCGTAACTGCATTGTCAGACGAGAACACCAACTGTACCCTCTGTCATCTTTTACTTCAGAGACACTTGCCAAGAGGAAGAGAAGCAGAAACACATTCGATTCCCAACACCTCAGTTTTACAACTTCATTTTTTTTTTTTTTTT